CCGGTCAGGTTGCGAGCTCACTCTACTAGGAGTGTTGCATCCTCCTGGGCGCTGGCTGATCTACAGCGTTTTTGAAAGTCTCCGTTTTCGAGAGTCAAAAACACTGGGGTAGTGTAAATGACAGGCGCAACCGTAGCAAAAGTTATGTTTCAAAATGAAAACGCACTAGTGTAAACGTAGCCTCAGTTCTGTTCCAATAAAATTGCTTTTAGAAAATTTAGAACTGACCTTAATTTATTTTCTGAGATGAAGTACACAAAAAAATAAAAAGAATAAAACAACACTGATGCATTTTTAATAAATTGAGACCTTATAGTAAAGAAAAAAAACGTGTTCAGTTAAATTAAAAGAAAACTAAGAAACAAAGAAAATAATTTTCACTTGAAAACAGTATATTTTGCAAATATTTTACAAGAAAATGTACTATATTTTTGTGCCAATAAGTTTTTTTTACTTTATGTTCATGACTGTTAAGCACATCCATCCACTCAAATTCTTAATGGGTTCAGATGTTTTATATTTGAGTTTGTCTGTAATTCATTTTAGGGTCAATAATGATTCTGTAATGTAATAGTGAAAACTATCTTTTGTTGTTATTATTATTAAAATTGCAGAACAAAAAATACAGGAAGTAAAATAAATAAAACTATAATAATGTATAATTACTTTACAATTAAATTAATTAAATAAAAAGAATGAAAAAAAGATAATTTATTTTAAGTGGTGCTTTATTCTCAAGAACATAATGACACAATATATAATTCTATATAATATTGAAAAAATAGAATATATATATATATATATATATATGTGTGGGATGCTTTTAAATATGAAAATTGACCCAGACATGTTTTTGACAGGCTTCATGACATTCACCCTTAAAAAAAATTAATTGGTTTCAACATCTCTCACCATCCATCTCTTTAATTTTCTCTTCTGTGCTTTTTTTGGCCTTTTTCTCAGACAGACTGAATTAAGAAAATAAACAGTCAAGGTGTGTCTGTCTGTACTGGCAATCACTATGGATGTGTTTGTTTCTGTTTATGAACTGGTTTCGGCAAACGCAGCCCAAGTGTGAGACCGTTTCAACATTTAACAATCTCCCAGTGCCATGTATCTGTTTGTACACTGCTTTGGTATGTGGAATAGTATATACTGTATGTAATGACAAATATCCTGCCCCCTCACCGTACTGACAGAACAGGCAGAAGAACCGGTGATTCTCCTCTGGGTGACCTCTCTCCCGATCTGGTTCCACTGCTGTGGGAACTGCATGAGATGCCATGAACTTCTTATTGGAGGCCCTTCCCAGACGGCTCAGCCTCCGAGTGGAGAAGCCCGTGCTGAATTCCTCAGCAGCTGTAGAGCTCCACCCGCAGGTCAAAGCCTGGAGGTACGGCAGTGCTATGAAGACAGGATATATGGAAACTGGACTAAAAAAGAGCTTTGTCATTTTATATTAGGTACAGAGATTTTAAAAATAAAATATGTAAAATTTACACGCTACTGGGGTTGATTTTTTTTAATGTTTCTGAAAAAAAAAATTATGATAAATATATATACAGTATATATTTATATATAGTATTTTATCAAATACTATTACATAAAATTTTTAAATATTGTATATAAAATGATATATAAAATATATTAAGATATAATCAATATTATAATATATAATAAAATATTTTGGTAACACTTTTTTAAGTACCAATTCTCACTATTAACTAGTTGCTTATTAGCATGCACATTACTAGTATATTAGGTGTTTATTAGTACTTATTAGGCACTTATTAATGCCTTATTCTGTATGACCATATTTTAGATCACTTAACCCTACTCCATACCTAAACTTAACGACTACCTAACTATTAATAAGCAGCAAATTAGGAGTTTATTGAGGCAAAAGTCATAGTTAATAGTGAATATGTGTTCCCTAAAAATAAAAAATAAATAAATAGTAAAAGCATTTACTGTCACTTTTGTTCAATTTAATGCATTATTGCTTAATAAAAGTATTAATTTCTTTCAAAAACATATCTTAACGATCTCAAATTTTTTTGAATGGTAGTGTATATTTACCAAAATATATTAAAAACATTTTTTTTTTTTTCGGTCAGACAACAACTAAATCTAACAACTAAACTATTCACCAACTATAACTAATGAATATTACATGATGAGATTTTAAAGGACATTTTTGAAAAAAAAGTCTAAAAATGTGTAATAAAGACCATTTTAGAGAGGACCATTTCCATTTTGTCCATTAATTTCCGAGAGATAAAAGTAAGAGCATCTCACAATATCACTGGCTCATCGAAACAGATGTCTGTGAGCGTCCTGTCCGCTATTACGAGATCCGTATCATGAATCTCTGTCCTCACCTGCAGCAAACAGAACACAGCACACTGGTGCAGCTCTGAACAGAGAAAAAAAGGACAGAAAATGAGAAAATCAGTAAAAAACGGACTGATTTTGTAGGCATGCAGATTTCGCCACCTTGGAATTATAAGGTTCTATTTGCATTCTGAGCAGTTTAGTGATATTGAGCTTCAAAGTTTTTGCATTCCATATACTTTGTAGATATTGTAGAACATTTTTGTTTTCTAAATAAAAAGTCCCAAAATGTTCACAATAAAACATCACATAATGTAAATAATTTGTCACAGACTGTTGGATGTGAGGAGAGTCTTGGAAGCTTCCAGAGCCTGATCTCTCTGAGAACATGCAGCTAAAAGCTTACAGGCCCCCTCTCTGATCCTCACCTCCCTCTCGATCCGTCTCTGAACCTCACAGTCCTGCAGAGAGACGAAGAAAGAGCAGTCATAACCTCAGACGACACACCCAAATCTAAGGGTTTATCCATCAGGTATGAATGGATTACACATAAAAATCAAATTTTTTTTTTTTTTACCAATTTACAATTTACCAATGTAATTCTCAATTTACACTGTCCTCAAGTTGCAGTGGAATATGTGTCAACGAATCTAACAAAAAGATTAGATAATGTGGACATTAAAAGCTGATATGGACTGTAAACTGGTAAAGTTTGTGCTTTGGGTTCACAAGTACAATGCAACTGTAATGCAGGATGAAAATCATTTTACAGCAACAGTGTGTGACAACCTTGTGAAGACTTACAGAAAACTTTTGACCTCTGTCATTGCCAACAAAGGGTATTTAACAAAGTATTGAGATGAAATTTTGTTATTGACCAAATACTTATTTTCCACCATAATTTGCAAATAAATTCTTTAAAAATCCTACAATGTGATTTTCTGGATTTTTTTTCTCATTTTGTCTCTCATAGTTGAGGTATACCTATGATGAAAATTACAGGCCTCTCTCATCTTTTTAAGTGGGAGAACTTGCACAATTGGTGGCTGACTAAATACTTTTTTTCCCCACTGTATATATATATATATATATATAGCTCTAGCACGTCTCTCTCTCTCTCACACACACACACACATTTAGACAAAATTTAGAGCCACTCACCTTGTAAGCGGCCCACTTGTGGCAATAGGCGTGATTTGACTGACACCTTGCAAGTCTGATCCACTTGCTAACTCAACTGTCTCTTTGCCTGAGAGGTCCACTTTTCCCATGATGCCTTGGGAGGGACCGTCCTGGACAGACGCTTCAGGGACAGGCGAACGCGTATTGTCGCTGGTTGCAGAATGATCTGTAATTGCTCCTCTGTCTGAGATTGTGGCTGATATTGAGTTGTTGGTTGATGAAATGACAGCAGGCACAGTTTGCTCTGGAACTGATCTCGTCTCTTGTGTTGAAATGGGTAATGAGGTAGTTTGTTTTAAAGAAAGCGCTGCTGTGTCCTCTTTAGCATCAACACCTTGAGCATTTCTCCTTGAAACTGGGATGGGTTTAACTGGCAGCTTTGCTAAACACAGAAGAAAGAGCTCACTGGTAAAAACCCATGTTATGTCTTGTAATCTTGCTTTACAAAACAGACAAATTACAATTAGAGGAAAGTCAATTTATTTTATGGATTATTTTTCAACATTGCTAATAAGAAATGTTTCTCGAGCAGCAAATCAGCATATTTTGATTTCTGAAGGATCGTGTGACACTGAAGACTGGAATAATGGCTTCTGAAAATATTTCACAATATTACTGTTTTTGCAATCAAATAAATGTAGCCTTACTGAGCATAAGGGACTTCTTTCAAAACATTAAAAAATGTTCTCGACCACAAACTTTTGAACACTCTTTTACCTCTCCTTGTACTGTCAGGTAGTTTTCTTTTCTTCTCCAGATGTTCCTTATCATCAGTCCCCTCTGCTACAAGGCTTTCCAATCCTTCCACTACTAGCACATAAAGAAATTGGGTTATAGGGCAGTGCAATGCATGAACAGATGTTACAATCTGTGCCATATATGCTCATTTTTAGAGTATAATGATGTGCTGCAAATATTCTCACCATGATGTTCTGCCCGACTCTCATCTATGGTACTCTAGGAAGGAAATGGCCTCACCATTAGTCACATTTCAGCATTTATCAAGCATTTATAGTGCTTAAAGTCAAGATGCTTGTTTTACCCCCTGAGATGTGGAGGCTGGTGTCTTGCATTTCAATTCTCCTTTCACTGATTTGCCCACACCCATCCATTCACTTTTCTTTTCCTCATCCTCTGACACAGGAACTAAAGCATCTGTGATCAGAAGGTGAGATGCCTCCCTGCTCTCACTAGCACTGAAATTAGGAGGAATGGAGGAGACAAAAAATCAAACACATTAGGTAGAACATGGAAACATCTGCAAGTAAGTGAATGGTTTATTTGGCTAACAAATTCTCAACCAGGAGAAACAAGGACAAAACTCACATCATCATTCGAATGTTTATTAATTTCTCTCCAAGTGTTTTACGGCATCAGATAAAGTGTACCTTTGACCATGAGAATGCGACTCGGGCGCTGCTGCAGGTGGGAGGGGCCACACACACACACACACACACACACATTTAGACAAAATTTAGAGCCACTCACCTTGTAAGCGGCCCACTTGTGGCAATAGGCGTGATTTGACTGACACCTTGCAAGTCTGATCCACTTGCTAACTCAACTGTCTCTTTGCCTGAGAGGTCCACTTTTCCCATGATGCCTTGGGAGGGACCGTCCTGGACAGACGCTTCAGGGACAGGCGAACGCGTATTGTCGCTGGTTGCAGAATGATCTGTAATTGCTCCTCTGTCTGAGATTGTGGCTGATATTGAGTTGTTGGTTGATGAAATGACAGCAGGCACAGTTTGCTCTGGAACTGATCTCGTCTCTTGTGTTGAAATGGGTAATGAGGTAGTTTGTTTTAAAGAAAGCGCTGCTGTGTCCTCTTTAGCATCAACACCTTGAGCATTTCTCCTTGAAACTGGGATGGGTTTAACTGGCAGCTTTGCTAAACACAGAAGAAAGAGCTCACTGGTAAAAACCCATGTTATGTCTTGTAATCTTGCTTTACAAAACAGACAAATTACAATTAGAGGAAAGTCAATTTATTTTATGGATTATTTTTCAACATTGCTAATAAGAAATGTTTCTCGAGCAGCAAATCAGCATATTTTGATTTCTGAAGGATCGTGTGACACTGAAGACTGGAATAATGGCTTCTGAAAATATTTCACAATATTACTGTTTTTGCAATCAAATAAATGTAGCCTTACTGAGCATAAGGGACTTCTTTCAAAACATTAAAAAATGTTCTCGACCACAAACTTTTGAACACTCTTTTACCTCTCCTTGTACTGTCAGGTAGTTTTCTTTTCTTCTCCAGATGTTCCTTATCATCAGTCCCCTCTGCTACAAGGCTTTCCAATCCTTCCACTACTAGCACATAAAGAAATTGGGTTATAGGGCAGTGCAATGCATGAACAGATGTTACAATCTGTGCCATATATGCTCATTTTTAGAGTATAATGATGTGCTGCAAATATTCTCACCATGATGTTCTGCCCGACTCTCATCTATGGTACTCTAGGAAGGAAATGGCCTCACCATTAGTCACATTTCAGCATTTATCAAGCATTTATAGTGCTTAAAGTCAAGATGCTTGTTTTACCCCCTGAGATGTGGAGGCTGGTGTCTTGCATTTCAATTCTCCTTTCACTGATTTGCCCACACCCATCCATTCACTTTTCTTTTCCTCATCCTCTGACACAGGAACTAAAGCATCTGTGATCAGAAGGTGAGATGCCTCCCTGCTCTCACTAGCGCTGAAATTAGGAGGAATGGAGGAGACAAAAAAATCAAACACATTAGGTAGAACATGGAAACATCTGCAAGTAAGTGAATGGTTTATTTGGCTAACAAATTCTCAACCAGGAGAAACAAGGACAAAACTCACATCATCATTTGAATGTTTATTAATTTCTCTCCAAGTGTTTTACGGCATCAGATAAAGTGTACCTTTGACCATGAGAATGCGACTCGGGCGCTGCTGCAGGTGGGAGGGGCTCTGTCCGAAAGTCCGCCCCCTCATCTAAGGTGGGTGGGATTTCTGTGAGAGACAGTATAAACACAGGTTCCTCGGGCGTGGGCTCAGCAGATGTGTCTTCTGATTCACATCCAGAACGATTCAAAGTGCTGTCTTCAAAAACATCCTCAGGATTGGTTCTGTTGTTCTCATCCAGCATGACTACAGTTTTCTGTCTGGACTTGTTTTCAGAAACAACTGGCAGGGTGACATCTTTGACGGTCTAAATTACAGAGACATAATTAGTCTTAAAGTCATAAAGTCTTGTTGAGATATATAGTTGAGTATCATCGGCATAACAGTGGAAACTAATCCCGTATTTTTTAATAATATTACCAAGCGGCAACATGTATATCGAAAATAGTAGAGGACCTAGGACAGATCCTTGTGGCACTCCATATTTTACTGGTGATAACTGAGATGACTGCCCATTTAAATGAACAATGTGGTAGCGATCGGACAGGTAGGATCTAAACCATCTTAAAGCCTTATTATATCAAAAAAATACTTATTATATGTCCTTATTGTAATAATTATACCTGTCGAGGGTTAAAAAATATAATTTAACACAAATTTAACAGGTATTTTACCTGTGCTGATTCAATGCTCGATGTCACCACATGTTGAGCTGTGCTTGTGAATACATCAAGTTCTGTGGTAACTACCGCACCCTCTTCAGGACTTTTAGTGAAAGTGTTCGTGGACCACTCGGCAGCAGGCTGCTTTTGATTTAATACTGCAAGGAAACATTTGCAAACATAAAAATAAATATTTGCTTTTGTTTTGAAATGTTGTTTTGACATTTCTGCTAGTTTTTTTTATTTTAACAATCATACCACAATCATGTAAATGAGAATGTAAATATATAAAAAATATAAATATAAAAAAATCTATGCAAAATATACATTTAAAAAGATATAGATAGATAATAGATATTACATAACAGCGGCTCGGTTTTTATATTGTCTGACCTGTTGTGGTCTGTGTGCGCCTGGATGTCTGAATCAGGTTTGGTTTAGGTTTGGGTCCGCGGCACCTCCTGACAGGTTTAGAGGGCTCATCTGATGTGCTCTGAGACTCACTCACACTGAAACACACAACATACAGACATTTTCTTTTAGACAAATACACATAAATATCAGCCTCATTATGGAATCTGAACTGTTGCAATTAGAAGCGCTGGTTTTGGATATTCAAGGAACCATTTTAATGTGCAAACGATTCTATCCATCATATTTATTAATACAAATTAATTCAAATAAATTTAAAAATGATAAAAATCACAAAAATGAGAACACTGACCAGTCAGTGAAAATACATAGACAAATAATTTTAAAAACTAAATAAATGAGCGATATACAACACTTTTAATACCTTTTAGTCAGCTGTGGTTCTAATCTCGCCCCTTCTTGTTCTTTTATATTTTCCTCTGTGATTATATCATCATTCTTTCTTTTCAAAGATGAGACAGATCGATTATCTTCTTTATTCACTCTTTCAGGGATGACTTTGGGACGGTCTTCTCTTCTTTCAGATGATGGATCCGGCTGTAGTACCTCAGGGTGGACGGTAGAGAAGTCTGGCAGGTGATCCACAGGAACACAGTCTTCTTGCATGGGTTCTGCTGCATTTCTATCCTGTTCTGTGGAAGATGGACCCATAGAGGTCCCAAAAGAACCTGTGACAAGTTCTGGACAGGTTTGCTGCTGTCTGGTTCTCAGATCTTGACCAATATTGGGTTTGGAGAATCGACCTCTTTTACTTGGTGGAACCTGTGTCTCATGTTGAATGGGACAAGGATGATCTTCAGTTGTCTGTGATTTGATAGGTTCCTTATTCTGGGTGGGGGTTTCTTCAGCAGAAGGTTCTGGAATAAAAGCTTCATAGCTTGAAAATTCAACGTCGGCTGTTTCTGTGATAACTTCCTCATGGACAACCTCTTCATGTACAATGCTTGACTGTTCAATTATATCATTTCCAACTGAAAAAGATTTTAATGAATCAATAATCTAAGGAAGATCTCAAATTTGATTTGATGGAAAGTGTTAATCTGGATTGAAGCAAATAAGAGGGTTGAAGATATTTCTCACTTGTACAGGGCATTTCTGATGTCTGGATCATCTGAGCTGAGTTCCCGATGGTCAGAAGAGTCTCAGCGGCTTCATTGTTGATCTCTCTACATACTAAAAGAAAGATGTATAAAAAAAAAAATTAACCACCAGAATAGTAAAGCTTTTGGGCAAAATACTTGCATTGCATGTAGGGTGGGGGGATGTAAATTCAATTTAAATCACACAATATTTTTAAAAGTTTGCATGATAACATAATATACATATTCTTAATGTAAAAGTAATTTAAAAATACTGGAAATAATAATAATATATAATTTAAAGTAGGAACAACACATTTATTACTGTTTTTATTATTAGTTAAACAATCATGTAAATTGTAATAAAACAAATCATATATATTAACATAATAAATTAATGAACAAATAAATAAATAGTTTTATTCAATTAAAAAATTTGACTTCTATCAGTGCCTTTTTTTGCCCAATTTGATCTCATAAATGCTTTTTTCATTATTTGAACAACAATGTAAATTGAAATGAAACAAAATTATCATAAATAATTAAAAAAAAATTTTTTATCCAAACAGAAAACCAGGCTTGTATATGTGCATTTTTTCACTTAATTTGATTTTATAATTGTTTTTTATTATTATTATATCAACTATGTACATGGAAATTAAATTACAAATTATTATTATTTTCTTTGTTTCCTTTCTTTTTTTTTTTTTTACAGAAAACTGTGCTTCTATCTGTGCATTTTTGCCCAATTTGATGCTGGAATATAACCTTTCAGTGCATACTGGAGACCTTATTGACTACATATGATAACTAGACATAAATGCATGGTTAATCCATATAACAACAACTCATGTGGCAGTTTTTTTAGTTCATCTGATTCATATGTTTTTCCATATTTGCAGGTGGTAGGAAAGCTTGAGAGAGTTTCACCTTACCCTCCATGTGGTCTGGGTCAAGGAACTCAATGACGTCCTTCAAAACAAATCAGACACAAATTAGTACCATCTAATCAAACACTACAAAAACATTCCAACTCCAAAGTGAAGAAACTAGATTCAATTTCACTGCAAATGACAACAAAAGCAAAGTGTATGTGCATTCATGATGGACACCGCAGCATGTACCAATTGACCAATGAGGAAACAGAGGACGTGTCAGATGTGACAGAGACTTACAACAAGCAGGTCCAACTGGTGTTCACAAGGGACAGGACTGGCAGGCACCGTGGCCTGCTCACATGACAACTCAGGGCACAAAGCATTCTGGTATGTGCCCAGGATATCAGACACATTCACAGAAATGTCCAGCTGGGAGCCAATGGGAATGAGTGAAAAAAGAGGGAAGGACAATGAAAGGTAGGAGGGTTGTGAGTTTATGATATGACATGCAGAAATTAATACAAACAAAATGGCAAAACTAAAATGAACATCACTCTTTGAAAACTAACCATAACAACATAATTTATGCAAAAAAAAGAAGAAAAACTCAATCAGGCTCAAGCAAAGGAGTTTATGAATGGAACAAACACACTGATGGCAATAATATGTGATGAAGGTGGTCCCACTAGGGTCCTCTATCTTATTATAATACATAAACATACCTCTTCCATGGTTTCTACCACCTCTGAATTAACAGGTGGTAGAGGGCGTAGACTCATTGGCACAAACGCCTGGTTTTCCTCTTCAGGATTTGAAGGAAAGTCTTCCTGGCTCAGGACAGATACTTCTCCCTCCTCCTCATCATCATCTTCAGTTCCAGAGGCCAGTAAGGTCACCAGCCTAGATTTCCCCCTCCTAGGCATGCCCTGTTTCAATCTGGGACCTGGTTTTAATTTAGCTCTCCGGCCAGGTGCCTTGATGTCCTGACCATGAAATTTGGAAGATACAGGAAGATCAGAGAGCTCTTCCTCATCTTCCTCTTCCGCTGCTTGAATTACATGCTGAGAGAGCTTAGGGATCCTTCCTGACCTAAATAAAAGAGAAATAATAATTAGCATGACTACCAAAACTGAAATAACTAAATTAACTAAAACTATTTAAAATAATTTTTAGCAATTGAAATAAAGCTGCAACAAAACAAAATATAAATATTAAATGAACAACTTGTTGAACAACTTAAATGAAATTAGAAATCTTGCCTAGGCAACTAACTGAAATAAGTTCAGTTTAAGTTGAAGTACTAAAACTAAACGTAAATAAGAATACATTAAAGATAGACAGCATTGTTTAAAAAAAACTAATAAAATTGACAAAAGCACATACAATTACTAAAACGAAAAAATCTAACAAAAACTCAAAATATAAACGCTAATTTAAAATATTAATAAATACTATAATAATAAAAAATATATTACTAAATAATACTAAAAAAATGCATAGTTGCGTTGAGATTCCTAAACAGTCATTAAAATCGTCTAAAGAGTCTCACAAGTACCTGGTTGGTTTATTGAATATCTGTTCTTGTACAGCACTCAGGTCAGGTTCTTCCTCTAAATCTTCCAATTCAAGGAGAACTGCACAATGCTTCTTCTCTTTTATAGCCTAAAAAAAATTATACAAGCGAATTATACAAATTTTGTCAAGATAAAACAGGCTCTTCTGTACAAAAATCACACATTAGTGTACACTAACACACATAAAACTAATGCATCAAACAGCTGAAAACATCACCTTGGGGGACTTGTCCACTTTACACCCCTCCCTGGCTGAGGTCCTGTCCTCTTGGACATTGCCTCTGGGCACAGGGTGCCTGCTCCCCCATCTGTGGCTGAGATTCGGGATCGCCCTCTGGGGTCGACCTTTGAGCTGAGCCGGTTTAATAGCAGGACTCTTGAATCTGCTAGAGAAAGTTTCATTTTCAGTCCCCAAAAATGGTCTTATAATGTCAATTAAAACTGCACAAGTAGTGCAGAAATTACATTACTTTTCAAAAGTTTGGGTTCAGTAATAATGTTTTTCAAATAAATTAATACTTTAATTGGGCAAAGCAAATATAAAACATATTTTAAATAAACGCTGTGCTTTTGAACTTTCTATTCATCAAAGAATCATGAAAGAAAACTAATCATGGTTTTACCAAAAAAGCAGCACAAGTGTGTTCAGCATTGATAATAATAATAATAATACATTTTTCTCAAGCACCGTATCAGCATATTAGAATGATTTCCGAAGGATCATGTGAAACTAAGGACTGGAGTAATGGCTGATGAAAATTTTGTTTTACTATCACATGACTAAATGGGATTTTAAAATATAATAAACTAGAAAACAGTTATTTTAAATTGTAATAATATTTCATAATATTACCGGTTTACAGTATTTTTGATAAAATAAATGCAGCTTTGGTGAGCATGAGAGACATCTTTCAAAGACATTCAGTAATCTAAGCAACCCCAAACGTTTGAATGGTAGTGTGCATGTAAATGCATCTTTAAATTGAATAATGTGAAATATCTGTAACCTTTCAATAATATATTTGAGTTCATTCTTACCTGTCATCAGAAGTAAGATTTTCAGACTCCTCAGGTTCATCTACTGCAGCTACGAAATATTGAAGAAAAAAAAAATGTAAGTAGTGAATGAAATATATATATATATATATATATATAAAAATGCATAGGCTGCGATTTCCAATTCAGCTGGACTTTAACAGGACAACGAAAGTGATTTTATTTTTTCCAACTGTTCCATCTCATCCCCTTAACTGTCACTCACATTTTTGAACATAGACATGAAAGTGCACGATCCAAACTTAAATTTTTATAATTCATGAACGAAAACATTTTGTAACATGATATTGATGTACCATTTTCATGGTAATGCAATCTTTGCTGGACAGTCAGCGGCACAAGAGTGTCCTCCAATCCCCCATCCTTCTGCGTCTCTGTCTCTTGGTCATTCTGCAGTGGGGCTGCAGGGATGGGCTGAACTTTGGCCTGTCTGCCTCCTCCAGAAGGTCTCCGTCTTCCAGGAAGTCTGGGGTTGCTGACAGGCTCAGGTATCTGAAGGGAAGACTCTTCAGTGGGGGTTGAGTTTTCAGGTTCACTGGGTGTTACTGGTTTTACAGGGGATTTGGATGGGGATTTAGGAGTCCTAGAGGAGGCTCGTGGTTTGGCCAGGTTAGGCAGAGCTGTGACGCGTTTCCTCCTCGGAGGGCCAGAAGTCACAGAGAGCACAATTATTTAGTTTACAGCTACATTTCTACAAATCTGAATTTCTACAAATTTGTTTAATGTTTTTTTTTTTTGACTGGCCATTGAGAGAGGGTCCTGGTCAACAACGTCCTTTAACCTCATAGGCTGGTCGGTTTAATAGAGCAGCATTGCTTTCTTCTACATCATAATGCGTTTAAGGCCGTGACCATATCAAAAACTTACTTTATTTGGTAATCCAGGGTGATTTTATAGTAAAATCATCAGCGGCTCACGTCCTCCATGTTTGCTGTTTGTTACTGGGCATGCGCACTGTGAGGCCCGGAACGAAAGTTTTTCTCCTGACTCGCGGTTCCACCCGGATGATTTTCACAAGCGGACAAGTTCCTGTACATACCGTTTACCAAAGCACTGTATCATAGAAATACACAATTCAAGAGATGATTTTTCCTTATGCGTAATCTTAGAGCAAAAATCGTTTAAAAACGGATCTGCTTCGTCAGGCACAGCTGTGAGAAGCAAAGATACAGATGTTGTGTCAGGCAATACAGCAACACTGGCCCTGTCTGACACTAGTCTAGCGAGTGTTGAAAACCCAGCAGTCGTCAACAATGTGGACACAATGCTGGAAAGCATTGGAGGCGAAGAAGGGGTGTCCAAGGTGATCACATTCTGCTTTAGATTAAATAGATACACGGTTAAGACTGTGTTCATGTAGACTTTTGTATTGCAGTTTGAATTGTTACTGTTGAGTCCTTGTGAATGACATTAGTCTTTACAGGGCTGATGAATGTGATAGCAGTGGTTTGCCTGTCAAATATTTTATTTGTAAATTTATTGTAAAGCAATTATTGATATTGTGATAGTTCTTTATATTAAGGAATAAATCTATTGTTTATATGTATTTACATTTAATGACACTTTTTTCTCTATAATAACAATAAATATGAGATTACAGTAAAAACAGTCATATTGTTATAAATAGTTGCCATTTAAAATAGTTGTTTTCTATTTGAATATATTTTCAAATGTCATTTATTCCTGTGATGGCAAAGACGAATTTTCAACAGAACGTTCACAAGAATAGCATTTATTTGAGAAAGAAAACTTTTCCAACGTTATAAATGTCTTTCATATCAATTTTGATCAGTTATCGCATCCTGGCTGAATAAAAGTATGAATTTCTTTAAAAGAAAATCTCGCTGACCTTAAACTTTTGACTGGAAGTGTAAATGTATATGTATACGTGTATGTATTGAGTGTTATAGTGGAATGTATTTGAATCTGAGATGTTTCTGAATAGACATATGCAGATTCTTCTAAAAGACTTGAACTCCTCCACCAACCTGCTGCTCAGAGTGCGCCGCAGAACCCACGAAGGAAACAGTGCAGAAACTCAAATAAGCATGGATATTGTGGGACTTATTGGAACCACATATACATTTCAAGGTATAAAATTCTTAAGTTCACTTACTAGTGTTTTCTTAAAAATAATTTTAAGAATTGTATTATTATTTAAAAATTTTGGTGTAGGATTTGAAACAATCTTTTCGCGGAAATTGCTGGTTAATGTAAAAAATGATTACAAAGAAAGAGTAACACGATGAATTAAACATGAAATAGTTGTTTTTTTTGTAAAATGTACACAACAACAAATATATATATATGCTACATGACATGAATACAGTTTTTTTTTTTTTTGTAACAATTTTAATTACATGGGCTTACTTAAAGGGCTAATTCTGAAAAAAAAAGTCATTCGGGTTTGGAATTACATAAGGGTTTAAGTTTTTTGGTGGACTGTCCCTGTAATAATCACACAATCACACCTTTGATTCTTCAGGAATGGCAGACCTCCAGTACCTAACGACTCACAACGATGCAGATGAAAACCAGATGTCTTTGTATGACAAGCTGAGAAGAAAGAATTCTACGACAGTCCTGTGCCCCTTTTCCTTCCTCCTCCCATTTTTTTCTCATCTGGATACCGCTGTGATTATTACTATCATCCAGATGTATTGCACAGGTAAGCTGGAGAAGGACTTGAATTCTCACGAGTTGACTAGCTGGTATGGCAAATGATTCAGAAAGATCTTCTGTTCTGAGTTCAGCTGTATGTGTGTTTTGGTGGTTTGATTTGTTGATTACATTTGTTGGCTTCCCACTAAACAGCAGGGAGACTGCAATGCAGGCTGTTCTTCTAAAAGATCATCTTATTGCCCTGAATCGAGCTCGCCGGCCAAACAATGCCATTTTTTGTCAATTTTGATGACAAAATTATACCAACAGCACCTCTAGAAGCTTCTGTGACGAGCTGGAAGAAGGTCTGCGTCCATCCTAATGATGTAAAGGCAGAGCAGCAACTCAGACAGGTTAGTATAATGGATATACATGTTTTTCATGTGTTAAATCAACCATCTGTGAGAGAGTGCACAACATTACAGCATTTGATTTGAATCCAACAAAAAGTACATGTTTTTTATGAGGGACTAAACTAAAAAACCGACAGCACTGTTCAGAAATAATGACTTTAAGCAATTGATTATATGTATAAAATGTACAACATATTTTAGGCAAGATAATCAGATATACACTACTGTTCAAAATTAAGGGGTCATTAAGATTATTTTTTTTAATACTTTTATTCAGCAAGTTCACACTAAATGCATCAAAAGTGACAGTAAAGACATTTATAATATTACAAAAGATATCTATTTCAAATTAACACTGTTCTTTTTAACGTTCTAGTAATTAAAGAATCCTGAAAAGCACCAAATCAGCATAATAGAATGATTTCTATTTTTAAGGATCATGTGACACTGTAAACTATAGCGTTATGACTGATGAAAATTCAGCTTTATCAACACAGGAATACATTACATTTGAAAATATATTCAAATAAAAAAAACAGTAAATTATAATAGATTAATTTAAATAAATTACTGTATTTTTGATCAAATAAATACAGCCTTGGTTGGTGATCATAAGAGACTTCTTTCAAAATCATTTAAAAAAATCTTACTGACTAAACATTTGAACAGTCGTCTATATATGTAGTTTGAGAGTGCAAGGTGACTTGTTTAAATCATTCTCAGTGCTTCATGGGAGTGGGCGGTCGACAACTAGGTGAAAGGATAAAAATTATAAGTTGCATTTAAAAACAGAAGCTGTAAAAAATCAGCTTGAGCAACTATTGGACAAACATGGTGGAATGTTATGGGAAAATGTCCTTATCTTATCCTAATCCCACCTGTGCTCCAAAGCTATTTCATTCTGAAATACTGATTAATTTGATTTCGCCTCCGCAGTTTTTTGAGAAAAGGCCCATATGGTCTCGCAATTCAGTCAAGACCAACATTAACATTCACCCTGAGAAAATGAAGCACCTCCTCCCGTATGTGGCGTACTACATGGTGAGTTTTCACTACATGAAAAGTTTAATAAACTTAAATACGATGTGTTAAAATACCGTCTCCTATCCCAGCTTTTTGCACAGAAAGCCATTAGTGGTGCAAACACTCATATGTGGCACTATCAACTGTTCTCGGTTTGTTAGTATGGCCAGTTGTACCAAAATTGGTTCAACCAAAGGTGTGAGATTAGGGTGGGGCGACCTGTTTGTCTGGACTAAAGGTCAAGGTTTGGCTGGTAAATATAGGCTGGTTAACCCCTGCTGGTAGATTCTGTAACTATACTTTTATGTTGCCAAAAAGCGTCAACTTCAAGTTTATGCAAAACATAATGACACCTGTTTTGAGTCAGTGTCACAAATTTGTTTATTTGATTAGTGACCTATAATCTGTTAAAAACGTTTATTTCTATGCTTAAATTCAATTTTAATTCCCAGATTTTCCATGTCGACCCTACTGTATATCCCTTGTGCATCAATTTAAAAGAGTTACACAGAAGTCCTTCAAGGACAAAAATGTCCATGTCAATACAAATATTTTATAGTAAAAAAAATTCCCAGTTTTCACTAACATAGATCTTTTTGCCATTATGTCGTCCTGATCATAACTACCAAAAAAAAATTCATTTTCAGGATTTTAATCCTTTAAATGCCAGTTTGTTTACATAATGCCACTGTCATTTTTTATGATCGTTTTTATTTTCCATATACTAAATATTAAGCAGATTTTTCTTTTCTTTCCTTTTTTGGATTAAAACAGTCTGATATACATACCAATATACCCACACAATTATAATTGCATCATTTCAATTCAGTTGGCCTTTTTTTTCAGCAGGAGCAGAAAACCAGGAAAAAACGAGTACTTGCTCCATAGGCAAAAACTATATAAAATATTAAATATTTTATATAAATTTAATTTAAAAAGTTTAAAAATAGTAAAAACGTTGAAGCCTCCCCATTAGAATGTAAACCTATTAACAAAGAATGCATGGTTTTATGCCTAAATGGCACTGGGATTAAATATTTAATGGGTTTCATTGGGCACATTTTTGTCTTTAAGGTCCTGAGTGTAACAATTTTTTTGTACCTAGTGTAAAATATGAGGAACATGAAGAGCACTGCAGTTGGGAGCGGTGTACACCGAGGGAGGGATGGTACAGGGAGAATGCTATAGTGTTGGACTCTTCCGCTATATGGACGTGTTCAGTGCCGCCCCACCTGGCAGATTAGAGAAGCCCGTTCCTCACCAAGGCTGGGACGGTGAGTATGCCTGTCTGTTGTTAAAGTATGTTTAGATGTTTTCAGGCACAGCTAGGGTCTAAAATATGTGAGTGTACTGACAGTGAACTCCTGCTGACTCTACCTGCACAGGTGTTCTGAAAGCCACTGACTACAGTAAGAGATGCATGCAGCTCAATCCTCTCGCTACTGATGTCGTGGGCAGTGAGGACTGTCTCTACCTGAACATCTGGGTCCCTCAGGGCAGAAGTGGTAACGCAAACTTGTTCTAATTCACAAGACAAAACAAAAACATATGTTTAAGGGATAGTTCACTCAAAACATACAATTCTGTCATCATTTACTAGCCCTTATGTCATTCCAAACTTCTGAGTAAGAAAAAATAACATTTTATTCCATACAATTGAAGTCAATTTTTTTTGACTGTTGTGTTTGATGGGTGAAACTAACTAGCCCTAAACTATAGAATAATTTATCTACAAATATTGTGTCAAATGAAAGAATTTGCCGTCTGGCTTGACACCTTCTCCTTTGTAGTGTCTTCCAATCTGCCTGTTATGGTGTTCATCTATGGTGGTGGCTTCCTGCTTGGTGGTGGTCAGGGTGCAAACTTCTTGAACAACTACCTGTATGATGGACAGGAGATCGCAGACAGAGGAAATGTCATCGTGGTGACATTCAACTACCGTGTCGGATACCTCAGCAGCAGAGATGCTGATGCACCTGGTAAGCAGCTATATAAAATAAACTTTGCGTTGGCTCACAAAGAACTCAAAAGTGCAAAATATTATATTTAAATGCTTGAAATAGCTAAAGTTTCTCAGGTGAACGCAATCGTTTTGCTAGAGAATGCAAAAGCATTGAAATATAACTTTTCCTCCAATCTAATTTTATTGTATTTTTTTTAAGTATTGCGTTTTCCAGAAAATCTTCACAAAAGCACTGAAACAGTTTTTCTGCGTCCGGTGGGCTTGCGGCAACCACATGTGACGACCCCGGGCTGGACTCCGCTTCGTCCACGGTGAAAGTCGATCCGGCGATCCACAGCGCAAAGTTGTAGTATTTCCTCAGCAACCAGCACGGATCAGCTCCAGGCATGACGAAGCAGATATCGTCCTCTTTTGGAAGGCCAAACAAAGTAGTTTCGCTTTCATAACGAATCACACGGTGCCTTCACGACATGGCGGCGGCAACAACAATACTACAGCGAGAATAAAAGTTACGCCTTCTTTGCGTGAACATTTGGGAGGCGTTATGCAAATCTTCCCACATAGTGATGTAGGTATGTGGGGGCGTGTTAGAACGAGCCGTTTTTAGGTAGGTGTGGCTGACCCTTAACTTTTATAAAGAATATCTCTTTGGATTTGAGACTTTAGTCTTTGCAACTTTACAGATCTTCTTTATGCAACAAGAGCTTGTAACACGCCAAAGAGAAAGAAAACAAATTTAAATCGCCTTATATGACCCCTTAAAAAGTTTGGAAATGATGGAACATCATGGAAATCATGTTACTTTTAAAAGTTTTTGGAACATTCTGAAATGAGTTTAAAAACAGTGGAACATTTAAAAAAACTACACATGATTTGTACTAATGTTTTAAGAACATTATTAAAGATCAGATAACATGAATGTTTTGAAAGAATTAACATTACTGGAAGAATGTTATTCATAACTTTGAAAGAATCTTGCCAGAACGTTAGCTAAAGTTCTTAGAATGTTCCCTGTTAGCTGGGTAGAAGCTCCATTCAAACTTTTGGACCCCACTGTATACATGTATGTATATATGTATGGATTGATTGACTGTAGTATATGTAAATGATGACCTGAGCATGTCCTGCTTGATAGGAAACTATGGCCGGTGGGATCAGCACGCCCCTATCCCCTGGGTACACAGAAACATCAGGAATTTTGGTGGCAATCCAGACAACATTACCATCTTTGGGGAGTCAGCAGGAGGAGCCAGCGTGAACTTCCAGGTGCTGCATTTAAAAAAAAAATTTTTTTTTTAATTGTTTATTTTATTTTTTGCTTGCATGTCTTTGTGTGTCATTCTGGCGTAAGAGTGAGCACATTTGTGAAAATGTCTTTGCAAATAGTGCAAAATGACATTTGAAGTAGCCCACACAATATTAAAAATGCTCATAGATTGTTAAATAATGTTTTCTCTCTAAATCTAATGGCAACAGGTTTGCAAAAGTGTTTGTTTTATTAGTATGAAAGCCATGAGAGGTTCTCAGTAATATAGCTTCTAATTTCTGTGTGTGTGTCCCATCCTGCACAGATTCTTTCCCCTAAAAACAAGGGCCTGATCCGCAGAGCTATCTCACAGAGTGGTGTTGCTCTCTGTCCCTGGGCTGTCAACAGAAATCCACGACAGTATGCTGAGGAGGTGAGCTTCACTTTTACTCATTATAAAACAGACTTGATACATTGCGTACAGTACTAGCATTTGATATCATTCCCAGCCTTTTACAAAATACTTTAGTGTACACTTGCTAGTGTTTACTTAGTGAAGTCACCTGTTCTGTTTCACATACAGACTGACATCTCAATGTTTTTGGTTAGTCAATAATTAATGTATAGTTATCACAACGTGGTTTATGTCTACAGTAATTACAAACACAATTATTTATTTAAAACTACATGAGTATATTCTTTTTTGTGCACCGTTAGATTGCAAAGAAGGTAGGATGCCCCACTGATAGCGGGATGGTGGCTTGTCTGAGGAGGACAGATCCAAAGACTGTAACTCTTGCTGGGAATGTGAACTTCAGTGCATCTGCTTCTCGTAAGAACATTTACAGTGGCTGCTTGTGCCCTTTTAGCCCTTTACATGCTTTTAAAGCAATAGTTCAACCAAAATTAAAATGTATTTACTCACTGAAGTAAATGCTTTCATAATTTGCATTTTTGGGTGAACTGGCTGAACGTCTGCTCACATGCTGTTTTATATATATTGGCTTTTATTTTTGTATTTTTCGATTTTAATTTTCATTTAAAGTTTCCAAAATTTCTTGGTAAACGGGTGCAGTGACGTTGGTTTTCAAAAAACACAATGGACCAACACCAGCAGATGACATTGCACCCCAAATCATCACAGACTGTGGAAACTTAACTCTGGACTTCAAGCAACTTGGGCTATGAGCTTCTCCACCCTTCCTCCAGACTCTAGGACCTTGGTTTCCAAATTAAATACAAAACTTGCTCTCATCTGAAAGGAGGACTTTGGACCACTGGGCAACAGTCCAGTTCTTTTTCTCCTTAGCCCAGGTAAGACGCCTCTGACGTTGTTTGTGGTTCAGGAGTGGCTTAACAAGAGGAATACAACAACTGTAGTCAAATTCCTTGACACGTCTGTGTGTGGTGGCTCTTGATGCCTTGACCCCAGCCTCAGTCCATTCCTTGTGAAGTTCACTCAAATTCTTGAATCGATTTTGCTTGACAATCCTCATAAGGCTGCGGTTCTCTCGGTTGGTTGTGCATCTTTTTCTTCCACACTTTTTCCTTCCACTCAACTTTCTGTTAACATGCTTGGATACAGCACTCTGTGAACAGCCAGCTTCTTTGGCAATGAATGTTTGTGGCTTACCCTCCTTGTGAAGGGTGTCAATGATTGTCTTCTGGACAACAGTCAGATCAGCAGTCTTCCCCATGATTGTGTAGCCTAGTGAACCAAACTGAGAGACCATTTATTTTGAAGGCTCAGGAAACCTTTGCAGGTGTTTTGAGTTGATTAGCTGATTAGCATGTCACCATATTCTGATTTGTTGAGATAGTGAATTGGTGGGTTTTTGTTAAATGTGAGCCAAAATCATCACAATTAAAAGAACCAAAGACTTAAACTACTTCAGTCTGTGTGCATTGAATTTATTTAATACACGAGTTTCACAATTTGAGTTGAATTACTGAAATAAATGAACTTTTCCCTGACATTCTAATTTATTGAGATGCACCTGTAAATTTTTTTAAGTTAAAAAAAAAACTTATTAAACATTTAAAGGGATAGTTCACCCAAAATTGAAAATTACCCCATGTTTTACTCACCCTCAAGCTGTCCTAGGTGTATATGACTTTTTTCTTTCAGACGAATGCAATCAGAGTTTTATTAAATAATGTCCTGGCTCTTTCAAGCTTTATAATGGCAGTGCATGGTGGTCAAGATTTTGAAGCCCAAAAAAGTGCATCCATCCATCATAAAAAGTACTCCACAAGGCTCCGGCAGGTTAATAAAGGCCTTCTGAAGTGAATTGATGCATTTGTGTAAGACAAATATCCAAATTTAAAACTTTATAAACCGTAATCTCTAGCTTCCGCTACCTGTCATACTCGCGTTCATGAGAGAGTGACGTTCCAGCGGATGACGTATAGGCTGTAGTCATAGCGTAAGCTCCGGTGAGAAGCAACGAACGTGGAAGCACAGAGGAGAGACCAAAACAAAACACCTCTCACGAATTAGAAGTAACAAATTAGATTTTGTAAAGAAAAATGTTGGAGGATTTTTTTATATTATTGTAGAAACAGTGATACATTTTTTCAGGATTCTTTGAAGAACAGAAGGTTCAAGAGAAAAGCATTTATTAAGATTATACATTTTTGTAACATTATAATTAATGCATCCTTGCTGAATAAATGTCCGGTTCAAAAGAACTGCATTTGTTTGAAAGCGAAGTCATTATAAATGTCTTTTGTCACTTCTGATCAATGTTATGCATTCTTGCTGAATAAAAGTATTATTATTATTATTTTTTTAATCATACAGATCCCTAACTTTTTGAATGGTACTGTATATCTGAAAATATATTTTGTACTGTATAGGTATATACACATTTAAAAATTACCATTTTTGTCTTCTGTCTTCCCTTTTAACAAAGGGACAAACCAATATGCCCTGTGCAGAAAACACCTGTCAAGTTATTTCATGGGGCCTTTAATGGCCATGATTTAAAAAAAACTGCTATTGATTTTTAACAGGGAGGAGGTCAGGGTTCTCTCGATTGCCCTGTCTGAATCTAGAGGACCAGATGCTGGTGTCGCAACTTATGAGGAGTACACAGTCAATTGGGGTAGCAAACCTAGTGAGGGTGCCGTCAGAATGAGAGCCCAAACAGCTGATAAAAATATCACAGGTATCCAAAAGTAATCCATATGACTCCAGTTCATCAATTAATGTCTTATAAAGTGAAAAGCTGCATGTTCGTAAGAAACAGTTTCATCATTAAGATGTTTTTAACTTCAAAACGCTGCTTCAGGCTAAAATATGAGTCCTCAATACATAATATTGCTTCCTCCAGTGAAAAAGTAATCTTGTCTGAATCATGAGAGAAATACAGCAAAAAAAAAAAAAAACAGTTCTAAACAAATATGTTGATTGATTTTGATGTGAGAGGACAATAACTTTTTCACTGGAGGAAGCGTTATTATAGATTACTGACTGGTATGTTGGCCAGAAGGATCCATTGGTGAGCAAGTGATGTAACTCATCTACAGAACATCTTGGAAGGTTTTTGGGTGAACGATTCCTTTAACATTCAGTTTATATCAAGTAACAAAATATTTTTTTAGTTTTAGTTAACTATAATAACCCTGGTGTCACTTGTGGCGCATGATGATAGCTAATAAGTCATTTCTAACTTCCCTCATTGTCTATCTTCCTTTCTCCCTCACAGTGATCCTAGCAAAGGTGAGTCCAGTGTTCCTGTAAGCTGGCCTGAATTTGCCAGCAGTATCTAAATATCAACAACAAGATGAACAGGGACAGCGTCAAGCAGATGTTGAGAACACGCTTGGTTTACTACTGGACTACCGCCTTTGCCAGCTTTCCTGCCGTCCAGAAGAGCTGAGCACTAGCAACCCAACTCGTGTAGCCATTTAGCAGTGAATATGATGCTAAGATTCATGCAATAAACTAAATATAAGATGATCAAAAGAAGCAGTCATATTTTCTGTATTAACTTGCCATTACATTAAAAGAATGCAATGCTGTTTTTGCTCCAATAAGCTGAGAGAAAGTTTACTGAAGATAACATTTTCTTATCAGTTAACACCATTTCTATGATTCTTATAAGCTCCGATAACTCCAATACATTAATACAGTTATCTAGCAATATTGTGGATAAATGTGGAGACTTTGGCATGGCCACATAACCCTAAACAATAAAAGGCGCCCTGAAAAAACTGCCCCTGGTGCTTTCAGTCCCCTTAAAGTTTGAATTTAGTCAGGACCTCACTGGAACAAAACATGGACATAGAATATATATAATGCATCTAAGGACAGCAATATGAGCTGATATTGAACATCTAAAGTAAATAATGGAGCTGTAAACCCTAAAAAAGTGACAAATGCATATTGTATGTGCTAGTGGACACATGATTAACCTTCACAACCCTTGGCATAGTTGGCCATTAGCATGTCAAAAAAAAATAAAAATACATTATATCAGCAGAATAAAATGAATAATAACAAAACATAACAAAAAAGTCTTCAATGTAATTTTTTTTTATTAGATATATATATAATGATAAATTATATAATGATCAAATATCAAAGGAATAGTTCACCAAAAAAATGAAAATTTGCTGAAAATGTACTCATTTATAAAGTATGTTTATTTTACAAATTTATTTTTTATGCATTTTCAAACGATTTCAAATTTCTTAAAATAAATACAATTATATCAGCTTTATATCGGCCACCGGCCACCCTGCTTTCCAAGATATCGGCATCAGCTGTCAAAAAAACAATATCGGTCGACCACTAATGAAAATCTTAAACCTAGAAATGACTTTTCTAGGTTTTAAGTGCTATAATCAGGTCCCCAGTGCATCTACCAGCCAAGGAAACGTGAAATAGATTAACCCAGTAACTTTGTTTTGGTAAGCCTTTTTCTGCAAGCGTCTTAAAAAACGAGTACGTCTGATTTCGCTCCCTTGGTGACGTGGCAAAGGGATCTCATTATAAACTATTTCAAATTTCTTAAAATAAATGCAATTATATCGGCTTTATATCGGCCACCCTGCTTTCCAAGATATCGGCATCGGCTGTCAAAAAACAATATCGGTCGACCACTAATGAAAATCGGACTTTTCCAGGTTTTAAGTGCTATAATCAGGTCCCCAGTGCATCTACCAGCCAAGGAAACGTGAATTAGATTAACCCAGTAACTTTGTTTTGGTAAGCATTTTTCTGCAAGCATCTGAAAAAACGAGCACGTCTGATTTCGCTCCCTTGGTGACGTGGCAAAGGGATCTCATTATAAACGATTTCAAATTTCTTAAAATAAATACAATTATATCGGCCATCAGCCACCCTGCTTGCCAAGTTATCGGCATCGGCTGTCAAAAAACCAATATCGGTCGACCACTAATGAAAATCGGACTTTTCCGGGTTTTAAGTGCTATAATCAGGTCCTCAGTGCATTGAACAACCAAGGAAACGTGAAATAGATTAACCCAGTAACTTTGTTTTGGTAAGCCTTTTTCTGCAAGCGTCTGAAAAAATGAGCACGTCTGATTTTGCTCCCTTGGTGACGTGGCAAAGGGATCTCATTATAATATTACCGCCCCTTAATCTGTAAATTTACACCCAAGGCGCCGTCATGTTTTCGCAAGCGACAATGGTGTACCAGCTCTAATCCCATGGCAAAAATTGAAGAAAAACATGCTCAACTGTTCTGCCTTTGGCTGCACAGACGAGCACAGAACACTATTTAGCGTCCCAGCCTTAGAGGAGACAACAGAGCAGTGGATTTATTGATTAATTTACTATATTGCTGCTGCCACACAGATCTAAAATAAACATGCGATTTATTTGCCAGTTGTTTACCTTCACAGACATAGCCGACTGTTTTTTGTAACTCGTGTGTTTTTAACGATCTGTGGAGTAGTGCTGCGCAGATGCAGATCTGAGACTGAAAGAGCTCTCCATTGACTGTTTTGGAGCCAGTTTCAGGTCACTTCAAGAACAGAAACACTCATTTGCATCATGACTGAGATCAATAATTCATCTGTTTTGTCACATATGCTACATCCTCATGTCTGTCATTGAACAGAGAAAAAGCTTATGGCCCAATCTTTTTACTAAAGGGGTGGATGCGAGGGTGATCACTACTTTCATATGCTGTTTAATTGTTTCAGCTCAACATGGTACATGGTGCTAGTATCTCCAGTGTCTTAAATTGATTACATTTGATTAATGATAAACTATATAGGCTCTTTTGATGAGAGATAGATGGCTGGTGTGTGCCTCATACAGCCGATGAGCTCAGGAGTATCATCTCTGGAATGAGCCAAAAACACGTCCGAGCCAACAGGCCAGGTAAAACACAAAAAAGAATGCATTGTTTGCAGATTACATGAATAGATTGCAGATTACACGTAATCCCCCTTTAGTTTGGTGCCTATAAAGGTTTTGTTATGCAAATGTTAATGTAAAAATGCAACTATGGTTTTGTCAAATGAACTAAGTGTGAGTAAATTCTTCAAGAATGCACCTGACATACAATAATAAAAGTTATGACTGTGTTTATATATATTATGTATATACGCATTTATATATACACTACCGTTAAAAAGGGCTTCGTACTTTTTTTAAAGAAATTTTATTCAGCAAGGATGTATTAAATTGATCAGCAAAAACAGTGTCAAGACTTACATTGTTACAAAAGATATTTCAAATAAATGCTATTCTTATTTCTTATTATTTTATTTTATTATTTATTTCCTTTTTTTAAGACCCTATGGTGAGTTTGTACAGAAACTGAATTTCAAAAATGAATCCAACAAATAAGTGTGACAACTAGTCATTTCGGGAGATGATAAATTTGAGTTTCTTTAAAATGGCACAAATATTTTTGCCATTCATAAATATTTTTTCTCTAATGGAAAATGTGTCGTTGAGATGACAAATAATGTCTAATGAACACCACCACACAAATTTTCCATGAGAGTTTAACACAACTGCACATATGCTGTCCAGCATTTACAGGAACTGTGTACTTTAAAGATATGGTTTTGGAACACCTTGAATACGAGATATGATTTGGCCTGTTTATAAAAGCGACAGAACTCCCTTCAATCCCACACTTGCAGCAACTGTCTGATGATGATGGTGATGCTGGGAGTTTTCATCTCTGTGGCCCTCATTCTGGGCACAGCAAATGCAGCTTCTGTGAGTCTTCTGTATATTTAACAGTTCATTATGTTTACGTAGTAAACTGTATTACTAAATAACTTTATCACTTTTACAATTATATCTATTTTAACTTTTAACACAAGGCCCCTAAGGAGATGATAATGGGGGAAAATGATGAAATAGAATTTTGCATTCTTCTGAGAAACTTTGCCTTCACTTGCAAATCTTTTCATACAATTTAGCTGAACATGGCTAAAATGCTAAATATGCTACACTGCAATTTCTACCAAAATTGCACTGCAGTTGGGAGCGGTGTACACCGAGGGAGGGATGGTACAGGGAGAGAAACATAGTGTTGGACTCTTCCGCTATATGGACGTGTTCAAGGGAATCCCCTTCGCAGCACCACCTGGCAGATTAGAGAAGCCCGTTCCTCACCCAGGCTGGGACGGTGAGTATACCTGTCTGTTGTGAAAGTTTGTTTAGCTGTTTTCAGGCACAGCTAGGGTCTAAAATATGTGAGTGTACTGACAGTGAACTCCTGCTGACTCTACCTGCACAGGTGTTCTGAAAGCCACTGACTACAGTAAGAGATGCATGCAGCTCAATCTTCTCGCTACTGATGTCGTGGGCAGTGAGGACTGTCTCTACCTGAACATCTGGGTCCCTCAGGGCAGAAGTGGTAACGCAAACTTGTTCTAATTCACAAGACAAAACAAAAAAAAGTATGTTAAAGGGATAGTTCACTGAAAAATTACAATTCTGTCATCATGTACTCATGAACATTTTTTGCCCATACAATTAAAGTCAATTAGGTGCAGTGTTGTTTTGACAGTGTTTGATAGGAGAATTTTGTAGTTTAATGCGTGAACTAGCCCTTTAAGGATCATTTATTTACAAATATTGTGCCAAATGAAAGAATTTGCCGTCTGGCTTGACACCTTCTCCTTTGTAGTGTCTACCAATCTGTCTGTTATGGTGTTCATCTATGGTGGTGGCTTCCTGCTTGGTGGTGGTCAGGGTGCAAACTTCTTGAACAACTACCTGTATGATGGACAGGAGATCGCAGACAGAGGAAATGTCATCGTGGTGACATTCAACTACCGTGTCGGATCCCTCGGATTCCTCAGCAGCGGAGATGCTGATGCACCTGGTAAGAAACTGTGTAAAATATTTCATTTGAATAAAATTGCAAAATAATTCATTTGAAAGCATTTAAATAAAAAGTTTCCTCATATTTTTGGCTTGCAAAACTCTCACAAATTTATTGCGTTCCCTTAAGAAACTTGAAATGTACTTTTTCCTCCCACCTCTTAGTATTTCCATCACACAAGTATTGCAAGAAAATGCAAAAGCATTGCAATACAAGTTTTCTTCCCTTCTCATTTTTTCCATAACCATGTTGCGTTAACCAACAAAATATGTTCTAAAAACATTTTGCTAATATTTCCATTATAAAAACGTTATTTATGAATGTTCTTTAAACATTCAAAACATCCAGTTTTTAAATGTTTAAAAAAGGTTTTTCTTGGTTATGCGAACCTTAAGAGAGCATTCAATTTTATCATTTTGCATTTTGAATGTCCGGAAGCAAGTTTAAAATATGTTTAACATTTAAAAAACATTAGATGAACATAACAGGAAATAACATTCCATGAATTATGTATAAATTCTGTTTTTGTGCTACGTTTTGAGAAGGATTGGGTGATAAAACACGTGTGCCACGTGTAAAACGTGTGCGTCTCAACCTATGAAGATATGAACACATGAGCTTCAATCTCCAGAGCTGCTCTGAGAGTCACTTCACCAGCTCGACGATACTGCCTTGAAAAATATCGGTATCGTATCGAAAACAAAATAAGTGGTATCGCCCATCCCTACCAGCTTCACAATGTTTCATTTGTGAAAGAAACTGAAAGTAAAACTTAAAGACCTGCACAACGAACCATCAAAATAAAAGTCCGGTTTAATTTAAATAAATTATGACAATAATATAATTTAACATAATATAATACAATATTGTTATTTTAAGGAATATCTTACAACCAAGGTATTTTTTTCATTAATTTATACAGTTCTGTTGTGCAGCAACTTGCTTGACAATAAAAATGCAATCTTTTGTAGTAAATTAATTTCATTTGCTTACATTTTAAAAGAATGCTCAAACTGTTAAAGTTTTATTAATTCATTTAATTAGATGCCATACTTTTTTTTATAAAAATTGTATTAAATCATAAAACACAAAATCCAGACAAAATAAAATGGAAGAAATCAATTTAATAAAAATTGATTTAATGGGTTCCTAATTACAAGATATCTTACTCTGTGGAGTTTAATTGTGAACAAACAAAGTTATGTTTACATTTACATGCAAAGTACTTTCTTCCCCATTAACGGTGAAAGAATATTGTGATAATATTTTTGGTCATATCGCCCAGCCCTATACATAATTAAAGACCAGATAACATTGAATGAATGTTCTATTGACGTTATTGGAAAAACTTTTTTTTTAATAACTTAGAGAGAACCTTGCCATCATGTTCCCTGTTAGCTCCAGTCAAACTTTTGGACCCCACTGTATACATGTATGTATATATGTATGGATTGATTGACTGTAGTATATGTAAATGATGACCTGAGCATGTCCTGCTTGATAGGAAACTATGGCCTGTGGGATCAGCACGCCGCTATCTCCTGGGTACACAGAAACATCAGGAATTTTGGTGGCAATCCAGACAACATTACCATCTTTGGGGAGTCAGCAGGAGGAGCCAGCGTGAACTTCCAGGTGCTGCCTAAAACAACAACAAAACACTGGTTTATTTATTTTATTTTATTTTTGCTTAAATGCTTATGTATTACATTTTAATTACTGAGTCTTTAAAATTTTCACTCTAAATCTAATGGCAACAGGTTTACAAAAGTGTTTGGTTGATTAATATGAAAGTCATGAGAGGTTCTCAGTAATATAGCTTCTAATTTCTGTGTGTGTGTCCCATCCTGCACAGATTCTTTCCCCTAAAAACAAGGGCCTGATCCGCAGAGCTATCTCACAGAGTGGTGTTGCTCTCTGTCCCTGGGCTGTCAACAGAAATCCACGACAGTATGCTGAGGAGGTGAGCTTCACTTTTACTCATTATAAAACAGACTTGGTGGTACATTGCTAGTACAGTACTAGCATTTGATAAACAGAGGTCGCAAAATCCTATGGGTTTATTTGCTCTCATTCCCAGCCTTTTACAAAATACTTTAGTGTACACTTGCTAGTGTTTACTTAGTGAAGTCACCTGTTCTGTTTCACATACAGACTGACATCTCAATGTTTTTGGTCAGTCAATAATTAATGTATAGATATCAATACGTGGTTTATGTCTACAGTAATTACAAATACAATTATTTCTTTAACACTATATGAGGATATTCTTTTTTGTGCACCTTTAGATTGCAAAGAAGGTAGGATGCCCCACTGATAGCGGGATGGTGGCTTGTCTGAGGAGGACAGATCCAAAGACTGTAACTCTTGCTGGGAATGTGAACTTCAGTGCATCTGCTTCTCGTAAGAAAATGGTGTATTTTTAGCCCTTTACATGAAATTAATTTACTCACTCTCATGTTCCAAACCTGCATGACTGGTCACTTATTTTCATGCTATTACAAAGAATGAATAAATGATGTGAATAAATGAATGGGTGAATAAATGATGACAGAATTTCATTTACAATGATAGAAATACAATGTCTGCTAAAACCATAGTAAATGCAATGCAAAGTCAAAATACTAAATCTGACCATCTTTTTCAGATCCCATTGTACACAATCTGGTTCTGTCCCCCGTCATCGATGGTGACTTCCTCCCCGGCGAGCCTGAAACCCTTTTCGAGAATGCTGCTGACATTGACTACATCGCTGGAGTCAATGACATGGACGGCCACCTCTTTGCCACCGTTGACATCCCCTCTCTCAACAACGCACTTGTGTCCACCCCTGTGTAAGTGTGCGACATTAAAGAGTCACCTGGAATCATTCTGATATTTTTTAAAGACCCCATAAAATCAGAAACAAGGCTTTATGCATTTTATGTCTGCTAGCTTTGAAGCTTTGAAACTTGACCTCTACAGACATTTTTTTTGTCTGGCCACAATGTATTTACACAATATACAGTATATTTTTTAAACATATGCTTAATGTCTGTAAACAGTGCAGCTTTTTTCCAAAAAATCATACCAATTCCAAGCTTTTGATGGTATTGTATGTATGAAAATATATGTTGTACTGCATGGGCATATATACATATAAAAATGAAAATTTTTGTCTTCTGGAAAAACAGCAACATAAGCAATAAGCCTTTCAACAAAGGGACTAACCAATACATTCCATGCAGAAAACACCCGTCAAATCATTTCATGGTGCCTTTAATGGTCCAAACCTGAAAAAAATCAACATGATTTCCAAAAACTGCTATTCATTTCTAACAGGGAGGATGTCAGGGCTCTCTCGATTGCCCTGTCTGAATCTAGAGGACCAGATGCTGGTATCACAACTTATGAGGAGTACACAGTCAATTGGGGTAGCGATCCTAGTGATAAGGTTGTTAAGAAAACGATTGTTGACATGGAGACGGACTACATCTTCCTGGTGCCAACCCAAGCGGCCCTGTATCTCCACTCTGACCATGCTAAGTAAGACTCCATCTTCTTATTTACTGACTTCTAAAAGTAGAAACCTTAAAAAACAACCTTTCTTCCCCATTAGATCTGGACGAACCTACTCCTACCTGTTCTCTGAGCCCTCTCGCATGCCTATCTTCCCACTCTGGATGGGTGCCGATCACGCTGAAGACCTTCAGTTTGTGTTTGGGAAGCCTTTCAGCACTCCTCTGGGCTACTTTCCTCGCCATCGTGACGTCGCCAAATACATGATTTCCTACTGGACCAATTTTGCTCAAACTGGGTATATAAACATTAAAATGCTTTACAATACTACAGTATTAAAATACTTCACCTTGTGTAGAAACAACTATACTCCACTATAATGTGTAGAAACAACTATAACACACACTTAGAGAGAGAGAGAGAGAAAGAGAAAGAGAAAGAGAGAGTACTATGGTACTAGGCCTGTCTGTTTTTGTGCAATCCCATCTGGTGCCAGTTAGTTATTTTAGTATTGATATACTATTATAGTTTTTTTTTTTTTTTCCATTTTCATTGTCTGTCTTCCTTTCTCCCTCACAGTGATCCTAGCAAAGGTGAGTCCAGTGTTCCTGTAAGCTGGCCTGAATTTGCCAGCAGTGGCCATCAGTATCTAAATATCAACAACAAGATGAACAGGGACAGCGTCAAGCAGATGTTGAGAACACGCTTGGTTTACTACTGGACTACCGTCTTTGCCAGCTTTCCTGCCGTCCAGAAGAGCTGAGCACTAGCAACCCGACTAGAGAATCGTGTAGCCATTTAGCAGTGAATATGATGCTAAGATTCATGCAATAAACTAAATATAAAATGATCAAAAGAAGCAGTCATATTTTCTGTATTAACTTGCCATTACATTAAAAGAATGCAATGCTGTTTTGTGCTCCAATAAGCTGAGAGAAAGTTTACTAACGATAACTTTTTTTAACGAATTAACGTAATTTCTATGATTCTTATAAGCTCAGATCATTTATATAAAGTTTCCACTACATTAATACTGCTATATAGCGATATTGTGGATAAATGTGGAGACTTGGGCATGGCCACATAACCCTAAACAATACAAAGGGGCCCTGAACAAACTGCCCCTGGTGCTTTCGGTCCCCTTAAAGTTTGAATTTAGTCAGGACCTCACTAGAACAAAACATGGACATAGAATATATATAATAAGGGAAGTCGTGGCCTAATGGTTAGAGAGTCGGACTCATAACCCAAAGGTTGTGGGTTCGAGTCTCGTACCAGCAGGGATTGTAGGTGGGGGGAGTGAATATACAGCACTCTCTCCCACCTTCAATACCACGACTGAGGTGCCCTTGAGCAAGGCACCGAACCCCCAACTGCTCCCCGGGCGCCGCAGCATAAATGGCTGCCCACTGCTCCGGGTGTGTGTTCACGGTTTGTGTGTGTTCACTGCTGTGTGTGTGCACTTTGGATGGGTAAATGCAGAGCACTAATTCTGAGTATGGGTCACCATACTTGGCCACATGTCACTTCACTCACTTCACTAATACATCTAAGGACAGCAATATGAGCTGATTTTGAACATCTAAAGTAAATAATGGAGCTGTAGACCCTAAAGAAGTGACAAATGCTTATGTGTTGGTGTATTACTCTGTGTATTATTAACCTTCATGACCCCTGGCATAGTTGGATTGAGGCACGTGAACCAGGATCACGAAACCTATGGTCTCTATTAAGCGGGAGTCCTGACAGTTAAAGTCCATTTCTGATTTTATTGTTGTTTGCATTGTCATGTTGCAGTATTTTACTTAATAAAAAATATTTTTATTTTTATTTTATAGGTAAGTAACAACCGCCCAAAATGCTAAACAAAACTGCGCAGGTGAAGTAAAATCACGTCACTGGAAATGTCCCACAGTTTTATTTCTCATTTTTGCAGCAAAGTGTCATGGGATCCATCACTGATCAAATAATAACACAGAAGCGATATAAGCACATTATTAAATCAGAACGCGAGGAAGAACATCATAAAACCACACGAGACGCGTAAATGTTGTTTGACGTACTTGTGCGTCACAGAGCGCAATGAAACCGAGCGCGTCTCCAGACGCGTTTTTACAAGTCCCCTACGTTGCGCCGCATACAGTTTTTGGAACGCAGGACTGAATGCCTCCCCTTAGACACTTAACAGTTAAAATGATTGAATCACAGACCGCCAGAGTTTCCCTATGAGACTCCGCACGTTTTCAGCCGTGTGTCTTCCTACTGTGCTGCGCAGATGCAGATCTGATACTGAAATAGCTCTCCATTGACTGTTTTGGAGCCAGATGGGTTAAATTACAGGTCCCTTCAAGAACAGAAAGTCGTTTACATCATGACATTCCCGGCTTGAGATCAATAATGCAGATGTTTTGCCGCATATGTTACATCCCCATGTCTGTTACTGCACAAAGAGCTTATGGCCTTTTTTTTATTTGATTACACACATAATGATAAACTGTATATCTTGCATGAAATGGAAGTTACTTAGTCCATAAATACTTTTCTGGGCAGTTAAAGCAGTGTGAAATGCCTGTGTTTAATCTAAAACAATATTGTACAATTATTATACATGCAGTCTTTATAATAATAATAATTCATTACATTTATATGGCGCTTTTCTAGGCACTCAAAGCGCTTTACATTGTCAGGGGGTATCTCCTCATCCACCTGGATGATGCAACGGCAGCCATAGTGTGCCAGAACGCCCACCACACACCAGCTTATTGGTGGAGAGGAGACAGAGTGATGAAGCCAAAAATGAAAATGGTTTGGAATTCAGTGTTCTTGCTGGTGTGATATTGCTGAAATACACTGCGGTTGAGTTGCAGTTATTCCACAGGACAGCGGAATGCAGAATCAGCTGACAGAACGGACCGTGAGCCAGAACTGCTGCCTGCTGTAAAACACATTCTCTCGCTCACTCAGTAACTCACACACTCACTTTTCTCTCTCAGGTCGAAGGGAAGTTTTTCATGTAACCATATGTTTTTTGTCTATGGGGAATAAGAGATTTTGGGCAGTATATAAACCATGATGAGGTAGCAGAAAGCCTTTCTGTCTCCTGTATAAAATTGAATAGGTGTCATTAGTGCCTGAAAAGGTCAGGAAAAAAATACATACATTTTAAAACTTTTTTATCATTTCATTTGGAAAGGGTATGGCTGACCTTTCAAGAAAATCATATTTTTCCATCTCAGCCACTTAGTACTAAAACTTATTTTCATACAAGACGGACTCAGGTAGTATCTTTAAGATTATTGTGTGCATTGTGATAAAAAAAACACTATAATAATAATAAAATAAATTAAATAGAAGTTATATCTACTGTATATCAGTGATGTTTGGGTATCAATAATACTCTACTATAGGATTTATTAATATGGTTTTATTAATAATATGGCTAATAGGTTTTTGTTTTATATATTCCATTTTAATTTTAGCTTTTTATGGTCTATATAGTTATTATTCATTTTATTTATTTATTGGCATTTTATTATACAGTGGAGATCAAAATTAGAGAACAACAAACAATTTCCTAAATTTCAAGGTCACTGTTTAGTCTTATTTGAACTTATCCTACCAGGAGTAGAAGGGCAGTTTTTTAAGCATATTTCATAAATTAATTGTATTCTGAAGCACAGTATAAAAAACTTAAATGAGATATTTGAAGAAAAAAAAGAACTGTGATCAAAATTAGAGAACACTTACAGATACCCCCAAGTTATTGGTTTTTGGTGTTATTCTGGCACCTGGTGCTAATTTCTTTAATAATAACAATAATTTGTTACATTTATAGTGCTTTTCTAGGCACTCAAAGTACTTTACGTTGTGAGAGGGGATCTCCTCATCCACCACCACTGTGTAGCATCCACCTGGATGATGCAACGGCAGCCATAGTGTGCCAGAACGCCCACCACACACCAGCTTATTGGTGGAGAGGAGACAGAGTGATGAAGCCAATCAGTAGATATGGGGATTGTTAGGAGGCCATGATGATCAGAGGCCAATGGGCAAATTTGACCATTTGGGATTTTTAATGACCACAGAGAGTCAGGACCTCGGTTTAACGTCTCATCCGAATGACGGATGAGAATGTCAGAAATCAAGAGACTACTTAAAGGGGTCATATGATGTTGCTAAAAAAGGACATTATTTTGTGTATTTGGTGTAATGAAATGTGTTTATGCGGTTTAAGGTTAAAAAAACCTGTTTCTCCTCTATGTCCCGCCTTTGTGAAACGCGTCGATTTTTACAAAGCTCATCAGTCTGAAAAGCAAGGTGTGCTGTGATTGGCCAGCTATCCAGTGCGTTGTGATTGGCCGAATACCTCAAGCGTGTGACAGAAATGTTACGCCCCTACCATACTGTGATGATGCCCTGTCCGGCCAGAGCGATGAATCAAAAACATGAAAATCCATTATAAACGAGGCATTCGTTGCATCCAGTGGGGACATAATTATGGATTATAATGACTTAAACTGTCCTTTTATGCGTTGTTGCATCGCGCCGCGCCGCGTAAACATAAAACCATGTCTGCATTGGTGATCGGAGAAATGACAAACAACAAGCGCTACTCTACACTGCCCAAAACTCACGTTTGAATCATCAGTGGCAAATTCTTTAAATATAAAAAACGTACTTACAGTCTGTGAGTCAGAACAGCCGGCATTGTAGT